TACGTCCAGCGGGGCAAGGTTGCCTCTATGATAATACAGGATGAAATTCTACAGCAGCAACTCGTGTGACATCAGTGATATGGCTTCTCCAGAATCTCTCAGAGCTGCAGACTCTTTACCATATGGTTCAATATTAATCACATAAGTTTGGCCACAATACCTTTGATACCGGTTTAGGTCTGGTACCTGATTCAAAATATTCATCGGTAGGAGATTAGAGTCAAACGTAACACCTTGTGGACCTCCACAAGTTTGACCACTAAAATTTCCTCTACCTCTTCTTCCTTTATTTTGATGACTGGTTATCCATTGTGCTCTTATAACCTACATAGCTACTTCCAATGGACCGTACTCATCGCACCCCGATGATCATTGACTATTACTCCTGGTATCAAAATCTCAGGACTGTTCCCGTGAACCCCTAAATATTTCTCTCCACCTTTGAGTTTGTGGAGGGTCTGATCCATCTACTACACGAGGTCCCTTGTACAAAATTTACTTCATTCTTGTCTGATTTAGAGCGAGGAAAGTTCCTCCTTAGACTGCTTCCTTTCTTCTTCCTTAATCATAATATTCAGAAAAATCTGATCGCAGCTTAACTATACTTTCCAACAGGTAACAATCCTGTCTATTTAGCCTTTTAATAGGAGAGCTTAGATTACTTCATAATAATCGCTTAAATAAAGATCCTCTGGGTGCTTCCAGAAGTATACACATCAGTAAATCGTTCTAAGAAACCCTGAGGGTGAACATTAGATTCCTGCTTGGTAAACAGAGGCAAAGCAGTTCTATAAGTTCTTGTACTACAGAGCGTCTGCAGTTCTGTAAAAACTTCCTGATAATTTAGATCATCAGAGCATAGTCTGACAGGTAACTGATGCCAGAGGGTTAACGGCAGTGTCATTTGGAGAACCACAAGTTTGTTCATTTCATCAAGGATCCCATATAATTGACAAGCACTCTGCACACATCTCAGATGCATAAAACATGATTGTTTTTCAGGCTTAAATATTCCAGCATTAGAGACTACATATTTTAATTCATTTGAGGGATGCATAAAAGCAGCGGCAGCATCTGGTATAGGTATTTCGGATCCAGTCACTAAATTTGAACTTTGAGGTTCTCTTAAGGCCCGCTCAGTCAGCAATTATTTTCCTAACTCACTGCTCCGAGCTTGTACTCGATCATCTGCAGCGATTATCTTTGCCTAGTACTGATCTATCTTGCCTTGCAATTGGCCATTGTCTTCTTGCAATTGGGAATTGTCATGTTTAACCATACTCAATTTGTCATTGACTCAATTTGAGAAGATTCCAACCTTATGTTCAAGAGGGTGCTATTTGCAATTGACTGTCACATTTCGCCACCAAATACACAGTCACTGCTTTGTGAAGTTCTTTGAGACATCTCAACAACATGATCAGGGGCTATAAGAAATGCAAGGATTATTATTATTAATTCTTAATAAATATTAGTTTTTTTTTTACTTATTCTAGTTCTTTGCTTCGTTTTAAGCCTTCTGAAGCTTCACTGATTAACTCATGTATCATATTCAGCATTCCTCCAGTGCAGGTTACAAATTAATAATACCCTTTGAGATCAGCCATGGACCCAGGACTCCTTAACTTTGTGACAGTTGACGTATTGACGCTTTTATAAACTTAAGTGCGTTAACACTTTTGTAACACACCTCCCATTTGACACCCAGCATTTTTTTATATTCTTATCTGTGAACTTTGGTTCATCTGGGGTCCCAAAATGTTGGGTTCCAATGTACGATTAGCAGTGGAGTTCTCCAGTGTTGAAATCTGAAAGACCATCTTATTCTGTTTGCCGGAATTTATATATTAGAATTCGTGAACAGAGGAACCAAAGTCACCTGTGTTTTATATTCAAAGCTTGTTTAATTAATATGGCAGAATAGTTGCATTAGTTCAATAAACATAGTACCAATAGACACGTTAACACCAACAATATTGGCTGTTATACTCAAGTGTACAGCAATGTTACTGTAATGGCAATATCAAAGTTCATAAATTCATAAGCAACAGGTGAAAAATTTCAAGATCTCTTCCTTCTAGTTTCTCTGAGATGAGTGTGCATTATCTGTGGAATTGGTAGGCTGATGATAACATTGAATTAAGCAAACAAAAATCCTTCTCTCTTTTCAGCTGAATTCCTATTTTGTCATTCTTCTCTTTCATTTTCTTCTCATGTCGCTGAAATAACAGGAACAATCAAGATCCGGTGGCGCTGTCACAGAGCATGGGAAGTGAAAGATGCACTTGCTCTCACCACCTCAGTCCAAATACCATGACGACAACAGCAACAACAAATTACATTTGTATAGCTCATATGACCAATTCTGACTGACCAAAGCATAGCTTAGCTATACCTCTTTTATCATTGTCTCTTTTTAACATCACGATGGATGGTCTGTGCGAAGCTGCACATACTCACAAGTCCGATAGTTGTTTACAGGTTGGTTTGAACAAGCTGAGACCGCCCTTGGGTACGGTATCCATGAGCTGAATTTGATTAAAACAATGCAGGTCCGTTACATCAATAATTAACAAGAGAGCTACAGCTGTGATAAGCACATTTCTTACACATTGCACCCAAAAAAAACTAATACAATCACGTTGTGTATTGTAATATATACATTGTTCTCCAGTAAAGTTATTTTAGTAAAGTGCTTCAGAAATATTTTGAACCCCAGCACAACAGCCTCTACAAGTCATTCTCATCATTTGATATAGTAACAATATTGCTTACAACACTGTTATCCGATATACAGTACCATGTGCTGTAGCATCTGTCTTAGCTCATGGGTGTTAATTAACTGCCTACAAATTAACAGCTTGTTAAACCTGTTAACTGCTGTATTCCAGAATTATATTCAATTTAGTTCTAATTTGCTGCAATTATTTGATAGGTTTTGCACTTTAAAAGCATAAAAATACACAGTCCTTAACTATTGGTGACATTTGTTGTTGCCATAAAAACGTTAAAATGTGGAACTAATTTAAAACCAATGTAGAAAAACAGTTAGCAGTGAGCTCAGGTGAAATTGGTGTAATTACACCATTCTGTACAGAAAAAAATCTTTTTACCTTTTGTTGCTTTTTTTGAGGCCACATAATATTGCATTTATACTTCAAAGGTATGAGGTAGAATTTAGTGAAGGGAGTATTGGAAAACAAATTGATTGTGGAAGACATTAGAGCTGAGGCTTTTTGCTGTTGTCAACAATGTCCAAACACGTGCAATTTACATAACAACAACAAAATTACATTTGTAAAGCGCCTTTCACGTCGGGAGGACGTCCCAAGGTGCTGGACAGTCAGTATTTTGGACCAGAGGTGGGGTTCCAGAGGATCTTGAACTGTATCCTCTGAGTGATGGGAAGCCAGTTGAGTCGGGCAAGGTCAAGGTCAATGGATAAATGTCAGTTGGTCCCATTGTACAGTCAGAACTGCCAAGAAGTATAAAACGTGTGTGTGTGTGTTTGTGTATGTGTGTGTGTGTGTGTGAAGGGTGGTGGTGGCATCTCAGGGCATCTTGTGGAGGTATGTAAAATGTTAAACACCAATCAATACTTGAGGAGGCACAAAAACTGTAGCAAAAGAGGGCATAGGTTTAGAGGTGTCCTTCCAAAAGACAATTTCAGGGCAGATACCAGAAGGTAATTAATACTGGATTAATTTGGAAAGCAGTTTCAAGTGTGGTGGGTATTCTGAAGGGATGAGATAAGAAGGGCCTTCTTCATCCAATCCCAAATGTTGTGATCTTGTTATATAATAATAATAATAATATGTGGAGCTTAGTGGTTAGAGCATTCACCTTGCAAGCGAGAGGACCTAGGTTTGATTCCCAGGCAGGGCAAAATGAAAAGTTTCCTTACTCCACACTCCTCTCTTTACCTAGCAGTAAGTAGGAACCTGGTTGTTATTTGATTGGCGGCTCACTTTTCCAGAGGTAATAATCCTGTTTTTAAAGAATAATAAATAACAATAAAAAAATAATAATTTGGTCACTCAATCCACAACTGTCTGTGGGACACTGCTCTGCGCGATTGACTGCTGCGGTTTGCCCACAAAATACACAGTCAATTCACTTTACAGCATATTCTATGAAGCACTTTGAGACGTCTCGACGATGTGATGAGATGTTATATCAAATACAAGGATTATTATTATTAGATATGGAAACTGAGGTCTGAAAGTCTACCGAGTCTTAGCCTGTTTTTCTGATTCAACCTCAGTATGCTCTGCACATTTTCCATTTAATTTAGAATATAAACTTTGTGGATTTCTAAAAGAGCAGTCTTAAGGTAACGCCCCTTCCCCTCTCCTTCCTTCTCTCCCCATGACCCCAGCTCGGGTTTGAAATACTATACTCTGTCCAGCACCTTGGGACATCCTCCCGATGTGAAAGGTGCTATACAAATGTAATCTTGTTGTTGTTGTTGTTCTACCAGTATTTCAGACCCATATGTTGCTCTCCACACCATCCCACCCACACACTTAACTATGTGACCTAAAAAAGGTGCAGCTCCTAACTCTAACCCTACATTCTTTAATTCCTTTTTTTTCCCATCAGAAGAAAAGAACTTCTGGTGATGTAAAAGATAGGTATCTCAACCATGGCAGGAGCTGTTTACCCACAACAACCATACCTTTTGACTCTTGTTTGGATGAATAGAAATCCTGGAGACCGACATTTCAGGGAGCCTCTTTCCTCAAAAAGGGTTGTGAGTGAGGAAACTCATAACATGTTTCTTTAAGTGCTTGACCAGATTCAATAGGTCATCAGTGCAAGCTGTTGTTGTTGTTGTATACGCTCACCCCTACATATGGCCCTATCAAGGAACAGCCACATTTTTAGACAGCCACATTTGTATGCCTGCAAATGAGTTCTATTATGAACTCAAGGAAAAAGATAAGTACACTTCCCCTCAAGATGAGTTTTGTTTTCAGTTTCAGTTCTAACAGGATGCTCCGTAAAGCTCTCTGATAAGTCTTGTGTGTATGAACGATGTGCTGCACACACTCAGTCATTAGATAATTGATTTAATTTGCTGTTGAAATATTACACGGTGTGCAACATGAAATTATGGAGTTATTTTGTCATTGTGACAGGAATTATTTTTCTTTTTGGCTTGATCTTCAACTTGATGAATCGAACTGATGTGAAGACTTTCAGTTTAAGTTACATCAGGTATATTTTACTTTTTCAATGTTAAAATGTAGAGTTTGTTTAAATGCAGAGGGACAATGTTGTAAAATTGACAACTAAACTCAACAATTCAAATTGTTTAGATCTATGCAGGAGTGATTTGTAACAGAAGTGCTTTCAGAGAAAAAAAAGCAATCGTACATGAATATTTAGCTGTTCTGTGTTATTGTAATGTTATGTTGCTTTTAGACTGTACCATAGAGAATTTAGGGATATTAATGTTTCCTCAAAATAAGTTTTTTTTTAAAATTCACATTAGAAAATAATCTCTAAAAAATGTAATCCTTAAAACAAAAATGTGTGTAAATAGGAAGCAAAGTTGGGGTTATGGAAAAACTACACTTCCTGGCACAGTTCTGGTAGATTTTCCCCAGTGCCATATTTCCACATAAATGCTTTAGTTTACAGCTGAAAATGAATGCAAATTAAATCTCCTTCTGTGTCTAGTATGTAATGTAATGTCCTGGCCAATAATCCCCAAATAAAATTGGGCTTTCATTTCATTGCGGTTTCTGGGATACTGCTATGTGCAAATTGGCTAACGATCTGACTATGCAAACTCATTACTTGTCGGCCTCCCCAACTCCTCCCTCCAAAGGCTGCAGATCATCTGGAACTCTGCAGCCTGGTTCCTCTCCCACACCAGGCTCCATGACTCTGTCAGCCTCTGTCACCCGACTCCACTGGCTTTTCATCACACAGAGGATACAGTTCAAGATCCTGGTCCTCACCTTCAAGGTTCTCCATGACCTCGCTCACCCTACCTCTGCGACCTCCTAAACCTTACCATATTACCCGCTCCCTCCGCCTTGCCTGTCCCACCATTGGCGGGCGGGCCTTCAGCCATTCTACCCCCACACTCTGGAACATAGCGCAGTCCCTCCGCCTCGCCCCCTCCCTTGCCTCCTTCAAGACGCATCTCAAGACCCTCCTCTTCGACCGTGCCTTCAATGACCCTCCTTCCCCCACTGCCCTCCACCCTCCCTGATCCCAAGCCCCAGTTCAAGTCCGAAACACTGACTGTCCAATGCCTTGGGACGTCCTCCCGACGTGAAAGGTACTATACAAATGTCATTTTGTTGTTGTTGTAGTAGGTGAATAAAACAGCTTTTACCAAACAAAAAGATGTTGACGAAAGAGGCATAATTGTACTGTTAAAATCCTACTTTCTGCATGTGAGTGATTTGCATGTGACTGGAGCTAAATGTCAGCGATACCGATAAGCTGCTCTTCCTGTTTTTCATTATATTGCTATTGTTTGGACCTAGCTGTGCCCATCATTCAATACCTAGCTTAATAGCAAGGAGATGAAAAGCCTGCATTGAAAAATCTTCTGTATTATTTGCTTACAAAATACACAGGTAATAAACTTTGCAGTAAATTCTGTGAAGAGCTTTAAGTTGTCAACCTGGTGTGAAAGGAGCTATGGCAAGTGTTATTATTGTTCATAAAATCTCTTTTGATCACTGTTTACTCTTTTGTTACAGGGTCAATAAGGAGCAAATAAGACAAATCTTAGCTACTCAAAAGGCAAATCCACCAGAGTGTGTGGAGCTCAGCAAGTTGCTTACTCTTACGCCTAAGAGGTCAAACAGATTTTTTTTCAAAACCTTACGAAATCATATACAAACAATGTTAAGACTGATTATGTATACATTAAGATTGTGTGATGAGTGTGTGTGCTGGGGAGCAGAGGCAGGAAAAGAAATGCAATGCAAGCTTTTAGTGACCCATCTACTTCAGATGTGGAACTCCCTGCCCGAAACGTTGGATAAAAATAGATAGTGCAGATGCATTTAGTACAGAAGCTGGATATACACGAGGGAGAAGGGAATAGAGGGATATGGAAGGGAGTAGGGAGTGGGTGCAAATTCATATGGAGTATAAACACCGACAAGGACTGTTGACCAAATGGCCTGTTTCTGTGCTGTGTTGTCAATGTCTTTTTCTTTACTCAGTAGGTAATCAACATCTGGAACAGATTGCCAAGAAAGGTGGTAGAGGCAAGGACAGTGGCTTCATTTAAAAAAGCAGCTTGATGCAGTGATGGGGGAACAGATGGGACTTTGAACTTTGAAATTACACAGTCCAGGCTGACCCTCCAGTACAGTGCTGGGGGTATGCTTTATTGTTGGAGGTGCTCTTTTAAACTGAGGTCCCATCTGCCTGTTAAGATGGATGTTACAGTTCCCATGGCACTATTCAAAAAGAGAAAAATGTTTCTTAGGTTGTCCTGACCAATAATTCCCCAGATAAAATCAATCATTCACTTTGTGGCTCTCTGTAGGGCATTATTGGGCACAAATTGGCTGCCATTTTCGCCCTAAAAATGCAGTAATTACACTTTACAGTAAATCTTGCAAAGCCCTTTGAGAGCTCCTGCCAGTGTGAAAGGCATGCTGAGGTTATTTCCAAACATCTGATTTCCCATTTTGTGAGCAGCAAAATCCCACAAAACAGTGATTAGGTCAATGAACAATTGATTTGCAGAATTGTTGGACAACAGGAAAAACTTATTTTTTCAAATAATGTAATGCGATCTTTAACATCCTCGTCCAGACCAGACAGATTAAACCTTTGTTTAACATAACATTCAAAGGACAGCATTTCTGTCAAAGCTGAATCCCCCCAGTACTACATTGAAGGGTCATCCTGTTAAGTTTCTCCTAACATTGAAGAAAATCTTGGTTTAGAATCTTATCACTCATAGAACAAGTTGACTTATTACTCACTATATAAAACAGTGTGAGGCAATAATTTTCTTTGGTCAGGTGGACATCTTTTAGATGTCATGTCTCCGCGGAGCTGCACGAGGTCTGCAGTGATCTTGGTAGTCCAGTTCTTGAGCCAGGCAAGGCTGCAGTACTCCAAGGCACTGCTGATGACAGCCTACTCAGCCTGGCTCATCGAGGCAGACCAGTCACAAGAGGCAGGGACTTCCCACTCAGTTCCCATTATTTCTGAAAGCCAAAGCCCCAACTGGTAAGGTAGAAAATTTGCAAGGCTGTGCTTTCAATGGCAAGCTATGCAGTTTTAGCTGGTTAGACTCCAGCAGTACCCTAATAGTGCTTTTCACGTCAGGAGGATGTCCCAAGACGCTGGACAGTTAGAGATTTGGATCCAAGCTGGGAATTGGGAAAACGAGGGGTGCAGGGAAGGGAGGGTAGGTGTAGGAAGGTGACCGAAGGTGCAGTCGAAGGGGAGGGTCTTGAGATGGGTCTTGAAGAAGGCAAGAGAGGGAGCAAGGCAAAAGGACTGTGGGATGGAGTTCCAAAGGGTGGGGGCAGAGAGGCTGAAGGCCTGACTGGTGGGTGGGATGGGCACATGTAACAGGCCGGAGCCTGCTGAGCGGAGGGAGCGGACAGGTCAACATGGAGTTAGCAGGTCACATAGATAGGGAGGAGCAAGGCAGTGGAGGGCTTTGAAGGTGAGGAGGAGGATTTTGAAATCTATCTTTTGGGGGATGGGGAGCCAGTGGTCCCAGGGGGGATGGGGGTGATGGGGTCACGGAGCCTGCTGCAGGAGAGGACACAGGCTGCAGAGTTTTGGATGATCTGCAGCTTGTGGAGGAAAACATTGGGAAGGCCGACAAGCAGGGAGTTAGCGTAGCTGAACCTGGATGTGATAAATGCATGGATGATGGTCTCGGTAGCCTGAGGTGAGAGGCAGCGGCAAAGCCGGGCGATGGTGCGGAGGTGGGGGAAAGCAGAACGGGTCACTGTAAAGATGTGGGCTAGAAAGATGTAAGACAATGGTCTTAAGCCTACAAAAGTGTGACATTTGGTGTCTTGAGACTCATTATTTTAAATCTTCTTATTGTTCATTGATGCAATATCAGTATTTGACTTTACTTTTTCTAGGTTTAAGGATGATGATTTTATCGACCTCTTCAAGAAAACACAGAAATGTACATGGTATAGAAATTCTGAAGCAAACCAGAAATTCAGGTGAATGTTTGAATTGCAGAATTAACTATTCCAGAAGAGAAGCTGGATTCTTAAAAGGATTCCTGAAAACCTATTGGAATTTCAGTTTAAGAAAAAAGTTTTGACTCATGGTTGCAGGATTGTTCATACTGGCAGGTCTGTGGTCAGCCACTCGGGAGGATTTAAATACACAAACTTATGAAATGCCAGCTATAAATACTATGTTATAATTAACTTGTTCAGTTAGGATTACCCTCCGGTTAGGACATTGTAAGGAGCCAAGTGAAAGGAGTTCTAACCCCAGGGAAATCTGGACCCCCTCCCCATCCAAAAAGTGATATCAGAAATGTAACGGAAATTGAATTATTGTTCTTCCAGCTAATATAAATGAACCTAATAAATTGGTGGAAAAGGCTTATTGTGGTGAATGGAATCCTCCTGTTCCTGGTTTCCTCTGTTCCTATGACTCTAAGCATGTTGTAACTTGAATTACAACTTGAATTAACTCATATAACTGTAGTTATACAGTTAGACTGAGTCCTATAGCTCAGTGGTTAGAGCGCTCGCTTTCCAAGTGAGAGACCTGAGTTCAATTCCAGGCACAGGGCGAAACCTTGGGCAAGTTTCCTTACTCCACACAGAGCCTAATAATAATCCCTCCAAAACAAAAAACAATAATAAATTGTTCATTTTCAATCCATAACTGTTTGTGGGACATTGCTGTGCGCAATTGGCTGCCGCGTTCGCCCACAAATATACAGTCAATTCACTTTACAGTGTGTTCTGTGAAGCGCTTTGGGACGTCCTCCCGACGTGAAAAGCGCTATATCAAATGCAAGGATTATTATTATTGTTATTAGGATTATTATAACTTGTTTTGCCCTTATCTGATATGTTGAAATACATCTCTCTGCCTCCACCCTCTAGCCTTGATTCCAGGATAACTGGTGTCCTGATGGATTGCCTGTCGGACATCAAGTTCCAGATGAGAGCGAACTTTTGAGAGCCAGTTGAATGTCGACAAGACAGAGGCTCTCCTGCTTAGCTCCCATCAACACGTTTTCACTTCAGGCACAGACAGTATCATTATACACAGATACACAATCCACTTCTCCAAGCCTGTATGGAACCTTGGTGTTTTGTTTGACTCTTTACTGTCATTTAAACCCCACATCTGTGCCTTGACCCACTCAGCTTTCCAGATCCTCCACAATATTCCTGCCTTTGGCACTTCCTCTCCCCTTGGGCCGCTGAGACTCTTTCATCACATCCACACTTGACTGTGCCAACTCTCCACTTGCCAAACTTCCCAAATCTTCCCTCCACGAGCTGCAGATCATGTCCTCTCCCATACCTGCCAGCTTCCTCCACTCAGCAGGCACTGGCCTGCTTCACTATCAATGGTTGGACCTTCAGTCTTTCTGTCCTCACTCTCTGGAACCCCCATCCTAGAGTTATTTTACCTTGATCCTTCCTTTGGCTCCTTCAAGGTCCAACCCCACCTCAGTTGCATAACTTGACTTCCCAGTGCCCTAGGACGTACTTCCGACGTGAAAGGCGCAATATAAATGTAATTTGTTGTTGTAGTTGGATGTACTTCATGTTATACATGCAGGAACTCTGCTTGAACATGGTTGGAAGGAGATTGTTGAGTTCCAATGAGATTAAAATGGTGCACACAAAGTGGATATAGCATTATCCACTCCACCATTGGGGCTGACCAATTGATTTCAATAGTTATAAAATACAATACAAATTTACATTTACATAGTGCTCTTCACCTCAGCATGAATCCTTCGTGAATTTTACTGTGCAAAATGTAATTTAAAAATAAATTTAGAGTGGCTGATTATTTTTTCTAATTTTCTCCCCACTGGTACATGCCTCTCTGCTGATGGTCTGGACACCACTTGCTGGAGGTTGGTTTCAATGGCACTGGTTCTCCTCCCAATTCCCAGCCTAGTGGCTATCGTTCATGTGTGAGAGCCTTGGCAGTGAGTCTTTCCCCACCTGGCTACCACACACATGCCTCAACAGAGGGATCAAGAGCAATGATCTGTTCTTTCTTTCCTTATCCCTGAGAAGCCCAAGGACAACTTAACGTTCCCATCCAGCCCCAACTGTGACCGCAATCTCAGCACAGATCAGGATTCAAACCAGCGATCTCCTGGTCTGTAAACTATAGCTCTGTCCATTGCACCATTGGGGCTGTCCTAAACATGTATATTTTTAACCCCAATAAGTTACAGCAAAATGTTTTTGGTTACATTCAATGGTGCCTCTGTTGAGAATAATAGGCAAGACGTAATCCGTTTATAAATGAAGAGGTAACAGGCTATTAAAGTGTTGAAAAAGAAAAGTATGCTTTTGACAAGAAAGATGTATGTGTACTATCAAAAGGAAATAGGTAGCATCTGTAGTCAACACATACCATACCTTTCACATCAATACCTTTCATGTCTCAAACTCTTTACATCATTGAAAGATTCCATGACCTAATCTTTTTGTTATTTTTTCCAATAATGAAAATAAAGAAATAACAGTGACACAGAGTTGACAATTGACATGATTGAAAAAGTAAACCCAGAACAACACTTTAGGATGCATCAAGATGGTAGTTGGTAGGTTTAGAGTTTCAAAGAAAAATTTCAGGAGAGATACCTGGCCTGTCTGACCGGAACAGGTAACCAATAAGAGTCACTGAGGCTAGGACTCATTTTTAAAAAAATTATTGCTGTGATGGGAGGATGGCAGAATAGATGATCTGGAAGGATGAGGTCAAATGGTCCAAAGGGCCTTCTTTATCCAAATCAATCTTGTGCTCTGGAACTCTATCCCCCAGTGCCTTCGCCTTGCTTCCTCCCTCTCCTCCTTCAAGGCCGGTCTCAAAACCTTTCTCTTTGACCGAGCCTTCAGCTCCCCTCTCGACTCTCTTCCCCCTCCTCGCTCCCTCCCTTCCCTCCCCTCACCCTGACCATTTCCCCCCTCCTCGCTCCCTCCCTTCCCTCCCCTCACCCTGACCATTTCCCCCCTCCTCGCTCCCTCACTTCCCTCCCCTCACCCTGACCATTTCCCCCTGCTCGGGTCATGACCCAACTGTGCAGCGCCTTGGGACGTCCTCCTGACGTGAAAGGCGCTTTATAAATGGAATCTTGTTGTTGTTGTTGTTGTTTCAGTACAATAACAACAACTTGCATTTATATAGCGCCCTTCATGCGGGGTAGCATCCCTGAGCAGTGGACGGTGGAGGAGTCTAAACCCCGAACCAAGGGGAAAGGGAGAGGGTGAGGTGACCATAAACACAATCAAAAGGAAAGTCAGTAGAGCCTGGCAAACACCAAACATGATGGGGTGCAAAGCTCTTAGAAAAATCATTCCAATGTGAAAACTGCTATATAAATGTAAAATTGTATTTGTATTTTGGGAATATAGATGTTACCTACTAACGTTATATGGTAAAAATGCAAAGGATGTATCTGGAAACTGATGTTCGTAATATGCTTTTTAATCTGATACTGTATTGGAAGAGATTTTTGTAGCTATGATTAAGCTACACTTCTCTGGATTTAATTGTACACTACACCAATTCTGAATATAATCATAAGAGGAACCCTAATTTTTGTCACTTGTTAGATACAGCTGTGTGATCAGGAGGATCTCAAAGAAAGAGAAGGGGTCAGAAAAGTCAGAAAAAAATCTGTGCATACTTGAAAATATCGATGGCAAATACTACAATAACATTTTTATAACAAATGGCCTACTTTGCACTATTCACTGTTAAACAATAGACAAAGGGATTATGGAGAGAAATTCCAACTGAACTTAGCTTACTCTATTTATATAACATTTCAGAAGGTCCAGCATTTAGCAAATTGTTGAATTCAATCTTAACTTTGAAGCCTTTTCATTGCAGGTCTTAAAATAACTTACCGAAATTCAGTTTCTGAATTAAGGCTGCATTCAACAATTCGTCAAATTTCTGGTTACACGAATAGAGTAAATTCTAGACCCAGTGGAATTTCTATCCCACATAGAACAATTGAAATTTACAGCACAGAAGATTATGTGTACCTGTATCTGAAACAGTCGTATATATTTAATGGAAATAGAATAGCTACAAGGAGGAAGGTTCTATGGAATAAGTTCTGATCCAAACACGTGAAATGTCTTATCTTCCAGAGCACGGCTAACAAATTGCTGCAATGCAATCCAAAACTTTACTGTTACACAAGTCAACACAGCACTAGGAGCAAATCTAACTTATGATGCACAACCTAAAAAGCAAATAACGATCACGGAAGATATTTTTAATTTGCTTCCTCAGGTAAGTTGTGAGTGAGTGTGTGAAAGTGTGTGTTTTCAGAAGTACAGAAATTTGTTTAAGTAGAAATATTTTTTTCAGAAAAAGAAAAAACCTTAACAGTAATTATCTGTGTACTATTAATAGTGACTTGTGATGTGTTAATTATCACTGATGTCTCCACTGTCTCCACCCCATCACAGAACGGCTCGATTTCAAGATCCTCACACTTGTTTTCAAATCCCTTCACGCCCTGGCACCTCACTACCTCTTCGACCTGCTTATCCCCCAACCCACAACCCGCTGGCTCCGCTCGACTGGCTCCGGCCTTCTTCATGAACCCCGTGCCCTCCATTCCACCATTGGGATCCTCGCTTTCAGCCACTACACCCGGATACCCTGGAACACTCTTCCTCTATCCCTCCGCTTTGCCCCTTCCTTCCCCATTATCAGGTCATGCCTGAAGACCTTCCTATTCAACTGTGCTTATGGTCACCCCCCCCTTTCCTGGCTCGGAATAGTGCTCCAACACTGTCAAGTGCTCTGGGACGCTACCGTGTGGGAGGGGTGCGATATAAATGCAAGATGTTGTTGTCTTTTGCCAGCAATAAAGTTATCACATCACAGCTAATTCCACTCCGTCCATGTTTGCTGTGAATATATCTCCCTGACTTTGTTCAATAGTTGGACACAAAATATGCAGTTTCTCTGTGGTCTCTTTCACTGTCCACTTCCTTTAGCTTTTCTAACTCTCGTAGTTTCTTCTTAAACCTGCCTGTCTGTTTCTCTGTCATTTCTTTCACTGTCCATTTTCTTTAGCCAGACTTTTTCCTACACCTGTAGATTTCTCTCAGACTTCAGTTCTGACTACTCCCTCAACTACAACAACAACAACAACAAGATTCCATGTATAGAGCGCCTTTCACGTCGGGAGGACGTCCCAAGGCGCTGTACAGTTGGGTCAGGACCCGAGCAGGGGGGAAATGGTCAGGGTGAGGGGAGGGAAGGGAGGGAGCGAGGAGGGGGTAGAGAGTCAAGAGGGGAGCTGAAGGCACGGTCAAAGAGAAAGGTCTTGAGACCGGCCTTGAAGGAGGAAAGGGAGGAGGCGGTGAAGGCACTGGGGGATAGAGTTCCAGAGCCTGGGGGCTGAGAGGCTGAAGGCCCGGCCACCGATGGTAGGGCGGTTGGGGCGGGGGATGTGGAGCAGACCGGAGCCAGAGGAACGGAGGGTACGGGCAGGTAAGTAGGGGGATAGTAGGTCGGAGAGGTAGGAGGGAGCAAGGCCGTGAATGGCCTTGTAGGTGAGGGTGAGGATCTTGAATTCGATCCTCTGGGGGATGGGGAGCCAGTGGAGGCGAGCGAGGGTGGGAGTGATGTGTTCTTACGTCTTACTGGTAAGTTTTGTATTTCTACACTTGCACAATCAAATTCATTATGGTTTGTTGTAATTTGAGCAATTAGCATGATACAATTAGCATGTCAATAAAGATTGGACGGGTTATAGATGAGACAATTGACAATCCGATAGAGGTGTTTAAACAAAAGTGGATATTAATAGCCTGTTACCACTTGTTCAGTCCAAAACAAGGGCAGTATATATTGAGTAGCAGACCTAAAGGGACTTTAGGAGGAACATTTTTATGCAAATATTGTCCTTGGGAGGGAAAGTAAGGGGGGTCTCCTTGGAACTGAACTAGCTGGACAACTAGTGGGAAAGCTTTCCAGACAGTACTATCAATTGAAGGCTATGCAGGGCAGACTCCAGCAGTACCCAAACACACACTCTGGGGACCTTGCCAACCTATAATAATAATAATAATTAATCCTTGCATTTGATATAGCGCTTTTCACGTCGGGAGGACGTCCCAAAGCGCTTCACAGAACACACTGTAAAGTGAATTGACTGTACCTACTCCCAGGATTAGGTAGGCAGGATATGTCCCTCCAGGGAGAGAGTGTGCATTCCACTCTAACAAATACCTCAGGAATTTCCATGAATAGGCAGGATGCCTGGAACTCTTCGTTTGATTTGGATACACTTAAGCATACTCTGATGGATTTCCACATATGTCCATCAGATCTTCACGCCTACGCAAATACTATTTCAGTGAACGAATAGTGAACCTGTGGAACAGGCTGCCGAGGCAGATGGTTGAAGCAGGAAGTGTTGATTCTTTCAAACACAGATTAGGTAGTTTTCTTTTAGGAAATAACATAATAGGATATAGTACTATGTGCATGCGATCGCCAGGAAGATGGAAGGTGAACTAGATGGACCTTGGTCTTTTTTTGTCTAGCATTTCTTATGTTCTTATGTCAGATACCCGGCTGAACACAAACAAATTGATGAGGAAGGTAGTGAGAACATGAAACGCACAAGTCTTGGTTGAAACTGAAAGCATCAATGTATGCTTTTGCAAAGAAACCTGATGCATTCAATTGAGAAGGGAATAGAGGGATTTGGGAGCATGGATTAGGAGAGTTGGAAGGTCATGTGGAGTAGTGAATGGCCTGTTTCCATGCTGTAAAGTTCTACATGTCTCTATGCAATACATCTTAAAAATATATCGATTTATTTGGTAAAATGAATATTAAATATTGATTGTCATAAATTTCTGTAAATCAAAGGACCTTCTGAATTGTCATGAAACTGCTAATTGCATTTTTTATCTATCAGACTGAGCCTTTTAAATTACCGTTATCTAAACTCTGTGCTGTGGTGGGAAATGGAGGAATTCTAACTAATAGCAGCTGTGGAGAGGAAATAGATCAGGCTGACTTTGTGTTCAGGTAAGAAGTAACATGGAGAAATATAGCTGGATTTATTTCTGCTGATTCATTTGAGATAATTAAGTCTTTCCAAGGTAACAGAAATTCAAAACTATCGCAATGAAATGTGTGATATTTCATAACAGAATATCTCCCCCTTCCCCTCCCACTCTTTATCTTTCTTTCAATAATTATCAAATTTGTTATGATTTTTTTTTACTTCTTTAAAGATTGCCCATGGAACCAAACACCAATTCTGTAAAAATTATGTGTAATTTTGACTCGTTCGGATAATTTTTTTAAAAATTGCCTGGTGACAAAATAGGTCCAAACTTGTTTTCAGGTCCTCGAAATAGCATTTGATGCAACTTCACATGAACTTATTGACTGAGCTAAGTTGGCATTTCGGTACATCCAGGAGGTTTGAGATGTCATTCTGAATTGAGAGAATCTATACCAAATGTAACAATTATATCCTGATCTTAGATGCAAAGTAGAAATTCTCAGATGCAACCATATGCTGAGGCCAGGTGTAAAGGGTCATTCTCCCTCTCTGCTTTCCTAACTCCATTCAAATTTAAGATTAAGATTTTTATAAAAACTGTGCCTTCGGCTATCTCCTCCCCTCCCCCTCCCCCTCCCCCAGGGGCATTGAGTACAATTATAGCACCACTAATGTAATAAGGTACCTCAGGATAGACTAGAGTCTTGGTTTGTGTACATGCATTCATATATCTAGGGCATTTCATCCTTGATTGATAGGCAGAAAGGTAAGCAGCTATTGTTCAAGCTCTGCATCTCCAACTGGTGGAACAGTTATTCATTGAATAGGGATTGTGTCTTGAACTGTAGGAGGAACGGCGGTGGCAATGTTCTCTCATGCAATTTCATGCAATTTATCATGAGCGGTGTGGCTCACCAGGAAGCTTCCGAGAGTTCATAGTATTTGCTATTCATTCAATGAGGGTTCAAACCAGTACTTGTGAGATGTCAAATGATCAACTAGTGACTATTCTCCTTGGGGACAGGGAGTAAGCAGTATCCTTTTAGCTGAGCTGGCTTCAAAGTAACACACTTTCCTGCAGAATGTTGGAATGGGTCAACCCTCCGTTGTGGTCTTGGTCAGAATACCGACCATACTATTTTCCCATTACAGCATCAACCACCCTTCTTGACAACCTATTGCAGTCATTAATTATTCTGTGGGTAAATTCTGCTATCCTTCCTGAAATTGTCCTTTGTGGAATGTTAGAATCAAGTCAACCTTCTGGGCAGTCTTGAATGTACAGTTTCTGAACCAACAGGAATCCTGCCAAACTGCTCTCAATGGCAACCTGGCAGGTAGGGCTCTCTGCAGTTTTAGTTGGTTAAACTCCACTGGTACCACAATTCACTCTCTGAGGTCCCCAAAGCCTTGCCTCTCACCAAACTGTGCCTAATACTTTCCACGATTAGTTAAGCATTGTGTGTCTCTCCAGGGAGAGAGACTATGTATTTCATTCCAGATTCAGGAAAATGTTCCTGTGTGGTTAGTGTACATATATGGAACTCTCAGTCTTGTTTGAATATTCAAAACCATGCTGATGGGTTCCCACATGTATCAGATACCCAGCTGCTGACCACAACAAAATCTTGTTCAAAGAGTTATTTTTAATCATTCGATCACGCAAGGTGTGTTTTGGAATTTATCTAAATATTCAATGAAGTGCTCCATCAAAAATCAGAAGATTATCATCATGAAATAAAGTTTATGTTTGTCTGTGTCTTCTGAGATAAGTTTATTGATTCCCAACAGTAATGCAAACTTGTACTTTTTTACAGGTGTAATCTTGCTCCTATTGTTGGCAGAGGAGATGATGTGGGATTGAAAACTGACCTGGTGACAGCTAACCCATCCATAATGTCAATTAAGTAAGTTTTCATTTTATCTCGTTTTTAGCATCTAATGAGTTGATATTGCAGTTGACATGAGGGTCCCATAAGCTGATCTCAGTGGTTCATGCATTTCATTGGCCTAGAAGGAGAGACTCTGGACATCCCACCAGAACCTATCAGGGTTGAGATGCTTTTTCATTCTACTCAGTGGCTTTGGAGCCCCCAAAATGTCTATTCAGGGTAGAAATACAATTAATACAAATTTACATGTAAATAGTGCCTTTCCCATTGGAAGGATGTCCCAAGGCACTTAGCAATACTAGCTTGTCACCCAAGCTGGGAGTGCATGCCCAAGGGTGGTGGGGGGAAGACGAAAAGCATAATCAAAGAGACAGGTCTTGAGACGGACCTTGAATGGGTTGAGGGAAAGGAGAGAGTCGAGGAGATTCCTGGTTATAATAATAATCCTTACATTTGATATAGCAACATTCACATCAGGAGGACATTTCAAAGCTCTTCACAAGATTTACTGTAACGTGGAGTGACTGTTTTGTGTTTGGGTAAATGCAGCAGCCAGTTTGCCCACTGCAATGTCTCACAGACAGTCACAGTAAATGATGAAGTTTGTGTGGGGGACTGTTGGTCAGGACACCTGGAGAAACTCCCTTCAAAGAATTCTAGGATTCTGTGAATACTACTCAATCCAGTTATGGCTTTGTCTGGAATTACTTAGGGCACTGGTCAGCAATCTTATGGAAAACCCCCAGCTCAGTTGCCAGTCCACCATGTGAAGCACTTTGAAATGTCCTCCCGACATGAAACAAGAACAACGTGGACTTATATAGCACACTCCACGCAGGGCAGCGTCTCAGAGAGCTTAACAGTGGCAGATCCTGATGAAAGGCACTATATAAATTGTATTGTAAATTGTATTGTATTATATTTGGGGGGAGGGTTGTTACCTCAGTGTGTGACACACATGGAAACCCATCATCATGCTTATGAGAAAACTCCACATATTTTCCATTTGCAGATGGCAACGGAAGGTATATTTTCACCCCAGAAAGTTTAGGATTATCAAGCACAGGTTGGCATTAGCCAACGTTTGGGAACCTAGAATGTGCATTTCAGTAGTGCTGGAGTTTAATTAGGCAAAACATGCAGCTACTAATATAATCATTGGCAAGCATCTCACTACATGTCCAGCTAGGATCACCCTAACCATTGGCAAGTAGAATTGAGTGGAAAGAATCCTAGCCTCAGTTATTGATCTAAGCCTCTGAATCCTGTTGATGAGCCAGCAATCAACAGTGCAGTGGAGTAAAGTGGACCTGCTTGTCTCAAAAAGTCTTTGTAGTTTGGTTCCAGTTCAGTTCTGATCTTCCATTGCCAGGCATATCACCTTAGAGCCAACTCAGCCCCAAAGAAATTCTGTTTCCCCCCCCACCAACCCCATGTCTAGTTTTTGGTGGCTGACTTTAGGAAGAATATATTTACGATACCAGTGTTGTAATTGTTTGATTCCCGCGATTAAGCTTCCTGAGTCAAAGTTGATATCCCTGGTCACTGGGGCGGGGATGCTCAGTAGGAGAGTGGGCCAGTGGTAGACTACATGTGCGCGGGCCCGGGGACTACTTTTTATTCTGTTTCGGGCCTGGTCTGCCTGGGTACAAATTCCAGATACCCAGTGTCCAGTGAGGTAGGGATTTACTGTACTGTTAATATTGTCACCAATATCTATAACTGGAAAGTTTTAGCTATGTTGAGCCTTGATGAATTTATCTTGTATTCCCTAGATCTGAGGAGATAAAAGGATTAGCTAATGAGGTGTTTAACATTATAATGGAATTGACTTGTAGGTAAGGATAAGACTCTTGTCTTTGGCAATTGGCAGAGTCCTGTAGCTGAGTGGTTAGAGCACTTACCTTCCAAGCGAGAGACCTAGGTTTGATTCCCGGCAGGGCAAAACCTTGGGCAAGTTTCCTTACTCCACACAACTGATAATAATCCCTCAAGAAGAAAAAAGTATAATAAATTGGTCACTTCAATCCATGACTGTTTGTGGGACACTGCTGTGTGCAACTGGCTGCCGGTTTTGCCCACAAATATACAGTCAATTCACTTTACAGTATATACTGTGAAGCGCTTGAGAAGTCTAGAAGACGTGAAAAGCACTATATCAAATGCAAGGATTATTATTATTATAATTGAAACAATTATTAACCTTAACTACTACTATCAACCTGACAAATAAACAAAAGCAAAATAAAATAAGCGCATATATCATTTGAATCAATGTGTGTATAACTGCTGTTTGTTTACTAAATTCATTACTTCATTGTGAACAACTTATTTTTGCAGATATCAAAGTCTAAATTTTAGAAGAAAGCCCTTTTGGGAGAGTACAAAGGTCTATGGGAAAGCATTTATTCTATTACCTGCATTTTCTTATCTATCAAATACTGGCATAGTATTTAAAGTTTCCTATACACTGGAAGATTTTGGTTCAAAACTGCAGCCAATATATTTAAACCCTTCTTACATAGTAAATATCACTCAGTTCTGGAAATCCGTCGGTGTGTCTGAGACTCGACTATCTAGTGGCTTGATAGTATTGAGTGCAGCACTGGAGCTTTGTGACGAGGTGTGGCTATATGGATTCTGGCCCTTCTCGAAAAACATGGAAGGAATGAAGATCTTCAATCATTACTATGACAATGTACCACCAAAGCAATCAGCTCATGTCATGCCGAGGGAATTCTACAGACTTCTGCAACTTCACACCAAAGGCATTCTGAAGTTGCGAGCTGGAAAATGCAAGAACAAGCCAACAGATATTTAGAAGGATGGGGTACAAGGCAAACATACATAGAAGTTCAAATCTGTAAAACTGAAACCTAGCTAGTTTTCTGAATGTGATTTCTCTTTTTACCACTTTTTATCTCCCAATTTTTTGCCTTCCACTCATCCAAATACAGTCACAATAAAATTATGAGAAGCACTTTGAAATGTTGCAACAATAAGATGTTTTATCAAATGCAGGAATAATAATTTTTGTCTCCTGAAGATTTTTAAAATTATTTTTCCTTCTAATGGTGGTATGGACCTGTGGGGTCCTCACAAAAGTGTCTGTTTTTCATGTTGTGTTCCTGACTCTGCTTGCTGACAACCTGTTTGATTCTACAGATCATCATAGTCAACACTATATGACCACACACATACATCCCACTCTCATCTGGTTACCAGTGGGGTTCCCCAAGTATCCATCCTTGGCCCCCTCCTCTTCCTAATCTGTATGCTTCCTCTTGGGGCTGTCATCCGCAGGCATGGGGTACACTTCCACATGTATGCGGATGACACCCAACTCTATTTTTCCACCTCACTTTTCGACCTCCAGTTTTCTGATGTTCTGTCAGACATCAGGAGCTGGATGAGCGCAAATTTCCTTCAGCTGAATGTTGACAAAACAGAAGCCATACTCTTTGGCTCTTGTCAACATCTCCAATCGCATGGTTCTCACTTCCTACACCTGCCCAACCTGCCCCTAAAACTCTCTGAACCCATACACACCTAGGCGTCAGGTTCAACCCCTAATTATCCTTCCTCCCCCACATCTGGTCCCTCACCAGTACTGCTTTCTTCCACCACCGAAGCATCGCCCGTCTCCGCCAATATCTCACCCTTGGTCCATGCCTTTGTCACCTCTCGGCTTGACTATTCAAATTCCCTCCTCGCTGGTCTCCCCTCCACTACCATTCATAAAATCCAGGTCATCCAGAATTCTGCCGCCCGCATTCTTACCTGTACCAATCTCCACTTCTTGATTACCCCAATCCTTGCCATACTGCAGTGGCTGCCTGTCCCAGAGAGGACCGATTTCAAGATCCTCACTCTTGTTTTCAAATCCCTCCACTCCTCTGCAACCCCTACCTCTCTGACCTCTCTCCTCACAACAGTGCCCATTGCCTTCGCTCTACCGGGTCTGGCCTCCTCCTTGTCCCCAGAGTCCTCTGCTCCACCATCGGCGGCCATGCCTTCGGCCCCTACGTCCCGAGGCTCTGGAACTCCCTTCCTCACTCCGTTCGCCTCGCCCCCTCTCTTCCTACTTTCAGGTCTCAGCTAAAGACCTTTCTTTTTGACCGTACCTTTAGTCACCTTCTTCCCCCTCCCCCTGGCTGGGCCCCGGGATTTGTTATTGTGAAGCGCTCTGAGACGCCATCCGGCTTGGAGGGTGCTATATAAATCCAAGTTGTTGTAAATCCAAATTGTTGTTGTTATCTAGCTGTGTCTCTTGATAGCAATCAATCAAGGGCAGGAGCCTTAGTTAATTTTCCTCTATTTACCTCTTGAACACTAAGGCTGATATTAGCCCCCAAACTGACGAAGATTAGCTAACAACACAGTCTGGATTACAAACTAGCAATCTTATTTGGCCTATTGCATTTACAATTTGTGGAGTCTTGTAGCTCAGTGGTTAGATTATAGACTGAATATTAGATTACTATAAAATGTGCTGTATCTTTGAAATAAGTGATACTTTACTTACTGCAGTGTGTTTTCTTTAAAAAATATATTGAATGTGTCTGAGGAATCGTATCAGAAGAGATCTATAGTATCTGACTGGCATGTCTGTGAAATCCTGAGGACAGTAGGTGTCAGTGAATACACTTTACTGTATAGCAATGTTCTAACTTCTGAACTGATCTTGTTGATGTATCCTGGAATACCACGCAGTTTTCTTCTGAGGTTTGAAGGATAATGATTTGTAAATATTATTAGGCAGTAACAAATAAAGTGTTCAGTTTATTTCAGCAAAGCAGACTGAGTGGCACACAGATATGTACGCCAAATTACAAGTTATTTAAAACAATATTTATAGGTTTCATAATTTATACTTTATCATAATTGGACCTCATTTTCTTGCTTTGAATATGAGATATAAGAGTTCATGCCATTCAGAAGGAAATATTGATGTGAAACTGATATTTGTTTGGAATTAACTGAGTGTAAAATAAGTTGGATATATTTCTGAATTGTATTCCGGATTGAAAATATTTTAAAGAGCATTAAAGGAGTGAGTTGTCAAACTCAGATCTGATAATCTGAATCCAAACTCAAAGAATTCATGAGTGAACGAATACTGGACCCGACTTCATAACTGAGCAGATTGTGTTGCTTGATCTCACTCGCACTTTGCCCCTGGTTGGCTGCGGGATCTGTATAACAGAGCTGTAACATTGTTGGGTTTGAACCAACCATTATGATGAAGTTGGGAGAGGGAGTCTTTAGTTATTGGTAAAGCAAAATTTCAGTGATGTGTCAATTAGAATACCTTTGCCAAGCCTCAGAGATTGTGTTTATTTTTGGTAATCACAGATTGATTCGAATTTCTATTTTTCACACAAGTCAATCAGGTTTTAATGATTTTGAAATGCATGTTATGAAGATAAATATGTCAAACAAGGTTATGAAGTTAAAGTATGCAGTAGATTGTAGAGTGTACAACTTTATTTGTAGACAACACAACAATTCAATGCTGTTTTCACTGTTTTTACCAATTTTAGTGTTGGAACTGTGTGGATTTTTCATCTTTCACCTGTTATGTTTTACCCACAAAATATACAGTCAATTCATTTTACAGTATATTCTGTAAAGCGCTTTGAGACGTCTCTAGTGAGGTGGTAAGGTGCTCTATCAAATGCAGGGATTATTATTATTATAACTTTGTGGCTAATTGTTACTTTCTGATTGTATTTTGACTACAGAATCTACACTAAGTTATGTTCAGTTGATTGCTGATAGTCCTATGTCACTAAAATTCTGGAAGTTATTCTTATATTTATGGTGATTCTGTTGGAGCGAGTATATCAAAGGTTTGGGTATCTCAGTCGAGACAGAAAGGCAAAATGATCCTTGCCTTCTCCAAGCTTTCTCAGTAAATAATTCTCACCAGAATCAATCTGAGTGCCTATGAATGTAATCTGTTTCATAAAATAAATGTAAATTTTTCTATCAGATTGTTATATTGTCATTTATTTTATTGAACTTTCAGTTATTCCTGTAACTTTGCAATGTTATTGCACAAATCTAGAAGTATTAATTATAAGGTGTTAGATTGAAAACCTCAGCTGTTAAGTACACATGGCAGTGTCTCAAGGTGAATGTCCAAAATAATGGGAGGCAAACATTGTAAGAATTAATGTCAGTTGATTTTTTATTTGCGTCAATTCAGTAATGCTCAGATGTTATATATATCATAATATATTAAATATGATATAAGATATTATATCAGATATCCTATGGGTGGCTCTGACCACCCAGTTTGTAATATTAATGATCTCCCGTCACTTAACCAAATGATATAAGTCAGTTGATGATTTCTTTATTTGCGTCAATTCAGTAACGCTCAGATTTTCTGAGACAGGTGTGTTGCTTATGTGATACTGCCCACCTAGTTAATGAGATTAATGATCTCCCGTCAACTAGCAATGATGCAAGTGGTCAAGTTGAATGACTCTACTCCACCTAAGGCTGAATTTGAAGGAAGACAATGAAGTAGCTTTGCTAAGATTTGAGTTCAGCAGGAAATTGTTCAGAAGGAGCTGGGTTTTCATCTGGAGGAACTGAATTGTTTAATTAAGGTGCAGGGAGAGGAAAGTTTTAATCTAAGCATCAAGAATGAACAGGTGGTCGAAAAGGTTTGGGAGACATTTGAAGCAAAGAAGCAGGATCAACCTCTACATTGTGAAGCAGGGGGTGAAGGTGGTCACAACAAAGGAGTGAATGAGCATGATATGGAGAATCTGGTTGAAGAGGCATTGCTAGGTGCTGAGACCATCTGTAAAGGTTATTGAATAGGAATTCAGCAGGAATGGGTCAAGAAGGTGGCAGGTCTACTTGCTTCCAGATGCTCAGCTTCCAGGAGCGGTAAAACACTTGCCACCTACAATAACTTTGGGAGTGTTGAGAGGGTATATTGTATACCAAGGAATGCTGAAGCTGTGTAGGAGTTGTGGCGGGGTTAGGGGATTTGGCAGTGGTATGTAATCTTAAGAGCCACAAGGCAGTGCCTGCCTCATATGCAAAAACAGTGAAAGCAACATTTAAGCATTTAAGGGACCTGATGAAAGAACTGAATGTGAGTAGATTTGGATGTCATCTGCATAATAATAATAGTCCTTGCATTTGATATAGCACCTTATCACATCTTCGAGACATCTCAAAGTGCTTCACAGAATATACTGTAAAGTAAATTGACTGTACATTTTGTGGGTGAAACGTGGCAGCCAATTGCACACAACAGTGTCCCACAAACAGTCGTCGATTGAGTGACCAACTTATTATATTATTTTTTTTTGAAGGAATTATTACCCCCGGAATAGCAATCCACCAAATGACTAACAACTGGGTTCCTACTTACTGCTAGGAAAACAGAGGCATATGGAGTACGGAAACTTGCCCAGCATTTCGCCCTCCCGGGAATTGAACCAAGGTCTCTCGCTTGCGAGGTAAGTGCTCTAACCATTCATCTACAGGACTCCACATGTGGAAGTTGACCCCATGTCTGCGGACTGTATTGCTGAGAGGGAGTGTATAGATAAGGAAAAGAAGGGGGCCAAGGATGGAGTATTGTGGTACCCCGCAAGTGACTGGGCAGGAGGAAAAAACATTTGCTGAGATGTATTGTTGACGGTTTTTAAGTTAGACTCAAACCATACGAGTGTGGTCCCACTAAGGTTGATGAGGGAGCAGAGGAGGATGGCATGGTCGACTGTGTCGAATGAGGCGGTGAGGTCCAGGAGAATGAGTAGGCAGAGGGACCCCTTGGTCACAGAGAGCGAGGACGTCATTTGTTATTGTGACGAACCCTGTTACTGTGCTGTGGGCAGGAAAAAACAGACTGGATCGGTTCAAATAGGGAGTGGAGGGAGATGTGTGAGCGAAATTGATTTGCATCAACGCATTCCAAAACTGAATTGTTTTTGTTTCTGTTCCATTTATTTAAATAATG